ATATATTTATATAATTTATTATATATGTATATATTTATATAATTTATTATATATGTATATATTTATATAATTTATTATATATGTATATATTTATTATAAATCATGTAGTAAAACATATAATAGACGTAAATAGAAAATTATGCGAGTTTCAAAAATATCGATAACTACAAAAACCGATAAAAAAATATCGATAACCCAAAGAATTCGATAAGCATAAATCCGACAAATATTATTGTACGTACTATTCTGGGCAGGTTGACGTAATTGTTCGCGTAGAGGAGATTGGTCCACCAGTTCTCGCGACAGTAGTCCCTGTTAGCGCCGACCCATTGGTCCCATTGCGGGCCAGTTCCCATTTTATAGAACAAAGTGGCGTAGAAGCCGATCATCATGGCGTAAGCTGGCGTCAGCCTCAGATAACGGTGTAAATAAAGGCCGATCACGTTCAAACGTCCTTTCGGGTCCTTCGCGTGCTTCGTCAGCACCGTGTACGCCATCAGCACTCCGCTCAGCAAGAAGAACGTGTCGGTGATTATGTTCGCGTTCAGCAGCAGCATGTTGCTCCAGCTCAGGTGCATCTTGAAGAAGAATACGAATCCGTCGGACTCTTTGAAACTCACTCTGACGAGCATACTTTCGTTCGGCAGACGCGATCGCCCGAACTTAATCGGCGAAGACGGGACACACGTCGCCACGTGTAGGAACAAAAATTGACTCGTACTACTGTTCGTACCTTCTGCCGGCTCTATCGGAGCAAGGCGAAGGCCGAACTTTCCTTGCACCATGTATAATACTTTCGTTTGTCATCGATCCGTTCTGTTCAACGGACTCTGATCAACGATGAAATTGAATTTTCGCCTTACCAGTGGCACCTCGTTCAGGTTCATTTTCACGCCGACGATCTCGGAGTAGAGCGTGTGGCCGCAGATGATCCAGCAGATGCTGAGATAACGTAGTCCGTCCAGGCATTTGATCGAGTCCCTGGACCTGTCGGTCTTCAGGAGATTCTTCCCGTTCGTGTAGACGGAGAACGACGTCAGAAGCACGTGTCTGTTGTCTGAAAACGGTTCGATTTTCGGGGAAGTCCGTTTAGAAATTCACGTACCGAGGATCCGATTAAATGCTAGAACTTTTGGAACGGCCTGTAATCTCGAACGGTGTGAAACAGCTGTATCGGTTGCGCGAAACTCATTTCTATGCCTAATGGATCGTCGATGTTTACAGATTCTGGATCGCGAGGTGTAGGATGATCCCGAGGCCTCCGGCCGTCCCTCTTTCTCGCGCGTTCGCGATCTTCGGCCCGTCACGGCGAAGAAGAACGGAGAAGGAGCGATAAAATGCAACCGGCAAAAACAGCGTCCTTAACACTGATCGTTATCTACGCCGGCCGAGAATCGTTATCGGTCACGCGTGATCTCGCGATCCGATCGGATGCCGATCGTTTTTCTGGCATCGTTCCGCGAGGAATATCGATAAGCTGACCTACACAGGACAGGTGTAACGATCGTTTACGTAACGAGAACGTGCAACCCACCTTTACGGTTCAACGTGCTCAGACGGCCTTGCCTGGCGATGTCGTAACTCGTGCTGGCAATTATGATCACGGCGAATATCGTGAGGATCGATCTGCAATTAAACGTTATCGTACGTCGTACTCATTAGCCTGCCGACAATAACAGCCTCCCGTCTTTCTAAACGTGCAACCCCGAACGCACGATTACTTCGATCGACCGTTCGTAGTCACCATAAACGATAAACGGATCGCGAATTTTTATGCGACATTAACGTTACTCGAATTTTTTGAAGAATTTCGGAGAGCATCACGCGCGTGAATTTTGAGAAATTGATGTTGCGTTCGTTTGCAAATTTCGGATATTGCGCGAGAATCGATATAAACGCGTTGCAACGAAATTTTTAAACGAAAGCCAAACCGCGCCGAAAGCCTGAAAAATTTCATAAAACTGAAGTACTTCGTTCGATTAAATTCATGTTGCAAAGCAAGCTTATGTGGCATCAATTGCATAAACGTTCGTACCTCTCGCAAATCTTAATGAAATTAAGAAATTCTAATATCGATTGGCGTACGAATTAATTTTTATAAATTAACTCGGGAAATCTCCCCATTCGATCATTAAGCGACTTCGTTTAGAACGAGATCTCCACATTCGGCTGGCTATAGTGTTAAGGAAGGGCTGTTGGCGTAGAATTTTCCAAATTTTCCCGACTACGATGGAAGATCTGGTAAACGAGATCCCGATTCCAGAGAGGCTGTCCACGGTTCTCGTCTCGAATTTCAACATCAAATTGGGCAAAGCGGTGGAATCGTGATCAAACGAAGCGTATTTGCTCGGCTCTTCAGTCTTGTGATTGTATTGTTGCTTGTGACTGTATCTCTCGGTAATCTGAGCGTCCCAATTTTTCGAGACAACATCGAAATCGAGATCGTGAGGAGCACACGCGGGATTCCCCCGCGAAACCGATCAGGAAAGACGAGAGAGTCCACGCGTCATCGCAGTCCAAGAATATCTTTCCACGATAATTCCCGATTTTTCTAGCCGTTCGGAAAGCAAACTCCGTCGAGCAAATATTTACATTCGAGTCGGTGTATTGCGACGCGATTTTCAGGGACGCCGCGCGTTTCTTTCGATTCGAATTATTCCGGAAAATAGTGCGCAAGCAGCCTTGTCCTCGAGATAGCCGACAAACAACGCGAATAGAGTTGCATTTGGGAGACCGCAATAGCGCGCAACCCGATAATGATATTTACATGTAAATCCAGTCGGTTACGTCGAGGACCGGTCGATCTGTTTCTGCGGTGTGACAGGAGTTCTCGGGAACCTTCACCACCAAGTCGACGCGACCTTCCACCTTGAGGGGGTCGAGGACGATCTCCAACGCCTCCTGGATCTCCGTGTGGTTGCAGCTAGATGGAACGCACCACATCCATTCGTAGATCACCGACTTCCCCGGGAGCCATTTCACGCCCTGCGTCAAACCATCGATTTTCTCAGTCTACTTCGTACTCACCTTTGAACCCTTGATTTATTCGAAATAAAAGAAACGTCTGCTGCGGTCGATCGACTGTGTGGTATCGCAGAATTAATCGTTTTTGTCTCGCGAGCCGCGAACATCCATACTTTAAGAGGAAAATGAATTTAGTTTACATTATGCATTTTTGCAATCTAATGTTAATTCGTAATATTTTCGGAGATATTTCGGAAAATGCTCCTAAAACAATTTATTTATTTATATAAAATTATTTATTTGTAATTTTATTTAATATATTTATAAATTTATTTATATATAATATACACATAATAATATATATATATATATAATATACATTTATATATTATATTTTATAATATATATATATAAATATATAATATATATTTATATATTATATTTTATAATATATATATAAGGAGCAAAAAGGTATATATAATAGGTAAAAACCCATTTTTTACAATAACGACTAAAAAAGCTAATATTACAGTTTATGTAAACTCGTTCTAAATCTTCCGCCATTGGCTGCAAACATGTCTATCTTATCGTTATTATCATTAACAATTTGAAGTGTTCTTTAAAAATGGTCAATCGCGTTAAATTTATTGGAATGATCGAACATACGAAAGAGAATCGATCTAGCCACGGTTTTTACAAAAATCCTTTTCACTCGAACTTGAATTTCTGAGAAAAGCAACTCGGTGATTCGATTCGGTCCCAGGCAGCGTCTGCTCACGCTAATAATAATGATTCCAGTCCAAAGATAATAAATCGAAAATCTCATCGCAGCGTGGAAATTGATAACGATAATCATTAGTAAGATCGCTCGGCGATACGCGTTCCCGAACAATGACCGATAAACGTGTTAAATGAATTCGAGTTCAAGCGCGTTATCGTGATGAGGAATAAAGAGCTTATCAATGGATTTCAACGGGAGAACGTTCCCGTTCGAAAACGAGCATTTCGGCCGCTGGAATATTTTTTTCATCTTCTTCGATTATTAACGAAATCGGCGATTTGTTTTCTACTTCTGTGAATCGAGATTTCGTCGAGATCATCATCGACGCGTGGCGAGGGTCTACGATTTGAATAGTCACTGCTGTTGCTGTATCTATAATAATACAGGTAGCTCTCCTACAACGCGGCATCCTATAACACTGTTTCGCTCTAACATGATAAGAAAATTGCGAGAACCTTTCTACGACATTGTACTTTTATAGCACTGGATAACATGATTTTTGTTTAACATATTTCAAAACTAAATAGC